GCACATTTTATTCACCCGTGTTAATCAGAATTTTGACGACTCCAGACACACAAGTCGAAGCTTGGACGACCCGTGCATATAATTGCAGCTCAATGTTGATCTGACGTTTCTATTCCATTATTTGAATCCTGCTAGTTCATTTCAAAACTAAAGAAAGGTTCACTTATTGTTTTTGAGTCGGCGTTGGGCCGATTGTATGGTTAAATTTCGCTTGAACTTGGAGAAGTTTTCATTCATTATTTTGAGTCGGCATTGGGCCGATTGCATGGTTAAATGGCGCTTGAACTTAGAAAAAATTTCATTACATCTATCACTTTTGCAGTCGGTATTTGGCCGATTGATCCGCTGGTTTTGAAGTTTGAAAACTTAGAAAGAATTTCATTCATTTATCATCTTTGCAGTCGGAATTTGGCCGACTGATCCATTGATTTTGAAGTTAGAAGTTAGAAAAAATCTCATTTATTTATCACTTTTGCAGTCGGTATTTGGCCGATTGATCCGCTGGTTTTGAAGTTTGAAAACTTAGAAAGAATTTCATTCATTTATCATCTTTGCAGTCGGAATTTGGCCGACTGATCCATTGATTTTGAAGTTAGAAGTTAGAAAAAATCTCATTTATTTATCACTTTTGCAGTCGGTATTTGGCCGATTGATCCGCTGGTTTTGAAGTTTGAAAACTTAGAAAGAATTTCATTCATTTATCATCTTTGCAGTCGGAATTTGGCCGACTGATCCATTGATTTTGAAGTTAGAAGTTAGAAAAAATCTCATTTATTTATCACTTTTGCAGTCGGTATTTGGCCGATTGATCCGCTGGTTTTGAAGTTTGAAAACTTAGAAAGAATTTCATTCATTTATCATCTTTGCAGTCGGAATTTGGCCGACTGATCCATTGATTTTGAAGTTAGAAGTTAGAAAAAATCTCATTTATTTATCACTTTTGCAGTCGGTATTTGGCCGATTGATCCGTTGATTTTGAAGCTTGAAACTTTGAAGCAATCATTTTCATGTATTTATTATTTTCCTAGTCGGTATTTAGACGACTATTATCACGTTCAACTTTTTACTTAGAAAAAATTAATTATTTTCCTAGTCGGTATTTGGACGACTAGATGATTTGATATTCATATTAACTTAGAAAAATTTTGGCCAACTAGTGACATTGAGATTCAATTTTTAACTTAGAAAATTTGTGGCATTTTCCTAGTCGGTATTTGGGCGACTAGATGCTTTGAAATTCAATTCTTAACTTAGAAAAAATTGTGGCATTTCTGGTCGGTATTCGGCCGACTAGTGACATTGAGATTCAGTTTTTAGACAAATAAAAAATTCCCCGTTCGTTAGGGTCGGAATTAGGACGACACGTTTTGCAACACTACAATTTATATATATAACTTGTAAGAACGAGTATATAAGAACAGCCAACCATGAAGTTATGTGAAAGAAAAAGATACCTCTTTTAGGGCTCCGGAAAACCACGGTCCCACGTGACGACTTGATTCTCGGCGTTCTCCCGACACCTATTCCCGGCCCATGGCCGTGGAGGCTGCACCGTCTAGATCAAAATCCGACTTGATCTTCTGCTCGGACAATACCCGACCAGGTTACCCGGCTACAAGCCTTCTCGCCTTACAGGCTCAAGGCTGGAAGGCAAGTGTACCGTCCAGGCCGAAATCCGACTTGACCTTCTGCTCGGACAATACCCGACCAGGCCGCCCGGTTACAAGCCTTCTCGCCTTACAGGCTCAAGGCTGGAAGGCAAGTGTACTGTCCAGGTTAAAATCCGATTAGGTTTTCTTCTCAGGTATTTCCCGACTATCGTATCAGGCCACAAGCCCTTTCGCCTTCTCGGCTCAGGGCTGGAAGGCAAGTGTGCCGTCCAGGTCGAAATCCGACCTGCACCTCTATTCGGCAGTGGGGCGACCATGCCTACTCGGCACCAACCCGACCGAGGGCTCAGCATAGACCTAGTCGGTCATGACTCGACTCGACCTGGGGGACTCGATTCCTCTCGCCTAAAAGGACTAAGGAGACTACTCGGCATTAACCCGATTGGGTCCCCTGCGCGGACCCAGTCGGTAAGAACCCGACTAGACTTATCCCCTTTAACCTCGCGCCATCAAGATAAGAACGGTTAGGGAAATCCCTTTATTCTCGGGGCCCAAGAGGCCCATGAACGACGTACCATAAAACCCAAAACCCTAGAGTTGAGAAAGCAGATTACACTTTTGAATGCTCTGGCTTTGAGGCTAGACCTAGGCAGAAACCCTAGGCCATCCCTTGGCCGGACAAATGGTAAAAAAATATATATTTTTGTTTTTGTTTTCTTATTTTATCATACACCAAGAAGTCCTCTTAGGCAAATATATTGCCACAAACCGTGGTATTTGGCCATGGAAGGTGGCAGAACAGATTTTCTCCCTCTTTCTCCCTACTCTCTTTCTCCCTACTCTCTTTCTTCCATTCTCCTCCTCTCTAGCCACCAT